TTCTATTTTCAATGAAGACTATCTAAATTAAGAGTTTTTTCTTTTTTTATTATAATTTATCAGAGACAAAAATATTAAAATAGTACAGATAGAAAAAAATGTACTGTCAAGTGAACTTTACAATGTCTTTTATTAGCTTGTCTTTATTTTATGCATCTAAAGTACTTTGTTTTTGAATAGTTACATATTAATAAGATAGTCCCATAGAGAACATCAATGTATGAATTCAAATGGAACTAATAAGATGAAAACATCTCAAGAGAGTTGAAATATTGTGGGAATAGTAAATCTTTTATACTAGATTAATCAGTATAAATCCTTTCAAAGATTTGTCTATGATGTGTTTCTGACAATACTATTAAAAGATTTTCAAACAAAACTACTAAGCAAAAACTTGAACTTGGTTGATGATGATATTTTTTTTGCACTTCAGATAACAATGGCTGCTATAAAATACAACAGTATGACATGACTTTTTTTTCTTAGGTAAGAAATGAACTGTATAATCTATAATTATGAAGTTGTTTCATAAATTAATACATATGTTGTTTTTTCTTGACAACTTCCGTTGTTTAATAACTTTTCTTAAAAAACAAAAGTCAAAATAAAACAACAGTATTTGTCATATTTAAAGATAAATTCATCGTCTAGGTGATGATAAAAAAGAGTTTGAGATGTATTTCTGATGATATTATTTAACTGTGTTCCGTTTCCTTTTTTTATAATTGAATATTTACAAAATATTTTCCAACTGAAAAGATAATGAATATTTATAATTAAATTTCAAAAAAAAACTTACTAGAATAGCAGCTCATTTTAATCAATTGAGAATTAATTTTATATACATTTCAAACATATTAATTTCACAAAAAATTATATGAAACTATTATTACTGCATGTATTTCATTTAGTATTCTTTTTCTTTTGCATACATTAAAGTTTTCTTTATGATAATTGTAATATAGTACGAACCTAAGATATAATGTAGACTTGTTCGATTGGTTTCCTCTATTATGTTATTTGTTTCCTACATATAATTTTGAATTCTATTCATTAACAATGCCATGCGGTAAAAATAGTTTTCGTGACCCTCTCGTATGCAAGTAGTAAATACATAAATATCTAACTACTTCTTTTGTAGAACAACTTTTTCTATCAATTTTTATGTGCTAGTCTGAAATTAAGCAAAAGCGACCATAGTATGTGGAAAAAAATAAATCTCTGATTATATTCTGATCATCTAATTAACTTATTTCTTATAGAAATATCATTATAAAACAATCTGAAGTTGTAGGATTTCAATTAGAAGGTATTTTTCATTCATTATACATTTGAACTATATAAACAATTTAATAAATATTTGAATATTTATAGATTTACTCTGTAGCTTTATTAATACCAAGGTAATTTTTAATTATTTCGTTGTTAAATGGTAGAAGCTACTTGATTTCAATTGAACTATACAAAAGTGTCAACAACAAAAATAGAAAGAAATTGAAGTATAGTGTATAATGTCAACAAGATAGGTGTTAACTATATATTAAAATAACAAAATTTATTAATGCTCGAAGAATTTGTAAAATACTGAGATAATTATAATATTTATGAATGTTGTACCTAAAAAGAAAAGTAATAACAATAGAAGATAAATTATAAAAATGTCGTGTCAACTTTTAATTTAATTCCATGAATTTAATATAAAAAAACGTTTAAACTATTATGAAGAATAAACAAGTAGCGATATAAATTTGTCAAATATATTTAACTAGTTTGATCATGAAAATAAAAATACTTTGAAGGAATGTATTTGTCGTCTTTTTCTTATACTAATAAACTGTAGGCAGATAATTCTATATTATAATTAAATCATTCCACAAAGAAATTTTTGACTTATATTTCTCATGATACTCAAAGTATCAGTATTGTTCACTTTTAATCAATTTGTAATAAATGATATACTACAAATGTTATAAAACAAGTAACGCTCATTTTTGACTTAGTGTGAGTGTATCTTATTTATCTCACCCACACCTTCGAGATTTTCTTTATAGACTTTGGATCCATTGAAACTGTACAATCGTAACGAGTCAGTTTCAATTCAAACATAAATTACACACATTTTTTTCAATCAGATAATCTGTCTGATCGATGAGTATCAGATATTTGATGACCCGTAGTTTTTTAATAAATGATAAGATTTCGCAGAAGAAACCGGATAGTTTTACAAACGCTACACCAATTAAATTCTTTTAATCAAAATACATTAGTAAAGAATATGAGATGTCTCCTTAGTTCCTCTCATATACATCTGTTTTATAGAGATTATCAACAACCCATCATTGAATTTCTAATAGATCAGTGATAATTTAATATTATTTCATTTTCGTTGTTCATAATTTACATCTACGACATGATTCTTTATGAACAATTACTCTGTCTGAACAGACGTATGAATATGATAAAATCTTTGGCGAGTTTGAATAAGTTTTTCTTTTTGATATATCACGTATTTCTAGTGATTTACAAATTCATCATACATCAATATTATACTTTTGGAACAAAAGTCTACGATCTGATCCTGCTATTAGTCGTATCAGCAAATAAATTCCGGATGAGGCTGTGGGTGTGATCTTTTTAATCAACCGGCACTCATCCAGTATCTAAATAATGATTACATACAGGTTTTCAGTCAATAGAATACAGCTAGAAAAATGAGAAAAGTTAGTTTAAACATTTTTTTAAAAATTCATGTCTACTAATTCCCGATGACTAATTATGTTATCAACTCGTGTGACTCAGACAATATTTACTATAATAAATACTTTTTTTTACTTAGGATTCTCCAGTAACAAACATGACTCTACACGTTTTTTCTCCTTCAAGGAAAATAAAGCATCTATTGTTCGTGGACTGTATCGATGTTTGTCAAAGATGTAGCGATATCTCATCAGTTTACTTTTTTCGCCCTTCATTTGTTGTTTTTCATAGCAATAAGATAAACAGTTAAAGATAAACCATTTCGAAAGGAAGTAGACATTTATAAAAAACGGATTGGTTTTGATCATTACTGCTGTTATATCTCTTGCCATAAAGAATGCTAATTCTCTTTCAATTTCCTCATGTACTACTGGTATCGTTAAGTATTTAAGGAGTGAATACTGTGAAGAGAAGGATGATTCTCTTTCATTTCCTCACGTACTGCTGATATCATTAAGTATTTAAGGGGTGAATATTGTGAAGAGAAGAATGATTCTTGTTTTATGAAAGAAGAGAAATAAAGAACAAAAAGGAGCGATAACAACTTCACTGTTAACGTTCGTGCTCGTTAATAGCAACGAACACTAACGTGTTCGAGATATACATGTTTTCTTCTCTCTGTTTATTTATAAACAACGAGTGTATATATATATACGAACATGAAAACAAAGACAAAAGTAGAAAAACGCGCAAAGATTAATCGAGGGAAAGAAAAGAAGGAATCGAATAATATAAAAGATATCAAAAGAATAGCGAAATGGTTAAGGAGAAGAGACTAGGAAGAATCGAGGTATATATTATAGCTGTACACCCTAACATTCACTAATAAATTTTACGCAGTAACTCCAATTCAAACCATTCACGCAGCAAACAATGAACAAAGGAAAATCAACAGCAAACACATCTACAGTTCCAGAAGGTCGTCGACGTATCAATATTCAACAGATGCAAAATGTTCTTCTAATCTGGTTAGACAGTAACATTGACGAAAAAAATAATGATTGTCAAACTACAATCACAAAATTACGAAGTACTGTTAACGACATCAATACATTTACAGATGCTGATCAATGCTTCGAGTTCATTGAAACAATCGTCGACAAAACGGCTTTTATGATCATATCTGGATTAATTGGACAACATATTGTGCCTTGTGTGCATAATATGTCTCTAGTTGATTCAATTTTTATTCATTGTGACAACCAAAAACATCATGAACAATGGACTAAAGATTGGCCCAAAATAAAGGGTGTCTTCACAGATATTACACCCATCTGTGAAGCACTCAAGAAAGCTGCTCATCAATGTGAACAGAATGCCATTCCTATGAGCTTCGTGGGAGCAAATAAAAAGTTGGATCAATTAGATCCTTCTTTTATGTACACCCAAATTATCAAAGAGATTATATTGACCATCAAATTCGAGCGGAAGCACATCCAAGATTATATTAATCATTGTCGAGATGCTCTTACAGATAATAAAAAAGAACTTAAAAATATCGAACAATTGGAAGGCGAATACTACAACAAAACACCGATTTATTGGTACACCTGTGACATGTTCTTGTATCCCATGCTCAATCGTGCATTACGATTGATGAATGGTGATATCATCACATGTATGGGTTTCTTCATTGGTGATTTACATCGACACATTGAACAACTGCACAAGGAACAATATGCTGATACAACTGCTGCTAACACCTTCATCGTTTATCGTGGTCAAGGTTTATCTTCAGAGGATTTTGAAAAAATGAGCAAAACTAAAGGCGGGCTCATTTCATTCAATAACTTCTTATCTACCAGTAAAGATCGTGAACTCTCCTATGCTTTTGCTGAAAGCAATCAGGCCAATCCGGATTTATTTGGAATTCTTTTCGTTATGAAAGTAGATCCATCTCAATCAACATCTCCATTTGCTTCTATTGCTGGTGTTAGCAAGTTTCAAGAAGAAGAGGAAGTCTTATTTTCGATGCATAGCGTTTTTCGTATACAGGATATTAAACAGATGGGTGAAAATAATCGTTTATATGAAATTAATTTGGTACTGACTGCTGACAACGATCCAGAATTAAGCAGACTTACGGACTACATTGCACAAGAGAGTTATCCAGACAGTGAAGGATGGTACAGATTGGGTTTGGTATTACGTAAAATGGGTCAATTTGACAAAGCTAAAGATATTTATCAAGTTTTACTTGATCAAATCGAAGATGATAAAGACAAGGCAGATATTTATGTCCATCTTGGTGCAGTCAATTATAATCAAGGAAAATATGAAGAAGCACTTACATTCTATGAAAAATCACTTCCTATCTATCAAAAAACTCTTCCTCCCAATCATCTTAATTTGGCTATTACCTACAGCAACATTGGTTTAGTGCATACAAACATGGGTAATTATGTGAAAGCACTTTCATCGAATGAAAAAGCCCTTGAAATCAAACAACAATCACTTCCTCCCAATCATCCTAATTTGGCTATGACCTACAACAACATTGGTAATGTGCATTTCAGCATGGGTGACTATTCAAAAGCACTTTCAAGTAATGAAAAAGCCCTTAAAATTCGACAACAATCACTTCCTCTCAATCATCCTGATCTGGCTACTTCCTACAATAACATTGGTTCAACGCATTTGAGCATGGGTGACTATCCTAAAGCACTTTCAACTCATGAAAAAGCCCTTGAAATTCAACAACAATCACTTCCTCTCAATCATCCTGAGTTGGCTACTTCCTATGGCAATATTGGTTTAGTACATCGCAATATGGGTAATTATCCAAAAGCACTTTCATTTCATGAAAAAGCCCTTGAAATCAAACAACAATCACTTCCTCCCAATCATCCTGACTTGGCTATGTCCTTTGGATACGTGAGTGATGTGTACAACATGATGGGTCAACATTCAAAAGCGCTTTCATTCGTTCAACGTGCTGTAGATATTGCACAACAATCACTACCATCAAACCACTCGCACCTTCAATTGTATAGAAGCCAACTGGAAGTTGTGAAAAAGAAATTATAGTTTATTTTTGACTTTATTATGAAAATAAAAATATATTGTAGAAAAAAAGATCTTCACGACGTATAGTTATTGTATCTGAGCAAGTTAGAGTTTCTTTGTGTTAGGTAAAAAGAAGAACGGCCACCCAACAGGCTGTTTAAAGTAACGAAGATAGAGATAAAAAGAACTGCATTTATTCAGTACTATGATTTATTCTTTCTGTTCCAACATAAAGAATAATTCATAGTAGAGAGTAAATAAACAAAAGATATAAAAATAAATAATTGCTATAGATATTAAAATACCATGGAACAGATCAGTATGTTAATATCAATAGAAAACACTTTTCAACTCAATTGATTGAAATGAAATGAGTATACGCAAACATCAATACAAAAAGTTTAATATTAGTTTGTCATTTTTAAGATAAGATTATATTGTCTAATACGATCGAATTTATTATTAAAAGATTTAATAATAAGAAAAATGTTCTCTAAGAAAGAACTACATTTTATTTTTATAATAAACAATCATAAATCATAGTTTAAGGAATTCTTCAAATCCCACATGATTTCTTATGCACATCAAACAAAATGCTGTGACTGACCATAATGTACCCGCCTCATTTTCTTCACTTAATCTAATACCACGCTGATCATCATGTCGTACTTGTGCTAATTCTTTTCCAATTGCTTCTCTAGTTAAGTAATTATTCCATTCTGGTAATTGACTAAGAACAGTAGATAAACGAAACCAATGAAGCGAAGCAACTTCTTCATTTGGAGAGAATTTTTCAGTTAAAAGATCTGCTTGTTCGTTAGTCAAATATAATGGATAAATACTTCTAGCATCAACAAATAAGAAACGTTTGAGACGTGATCGTAAACTTGATAGAATTTCATTTTCATTAGTAATGGTTTTCAATGCTCTTTCAGCTACTTGTATTTGATGTTCATCTCTTCGACACGGATTTGATGATGGAAATGTTAATAACAATTGTCGATCATGTTGTCCCGGTTCTTTAACTAATTTACTAGCAAATAATAACAATGTCTCATTATTTTCTATTTTATAGATTAATAAATGAACCATTGTACATCCTGTTGGATTAAATTCTAATGACAGGTTATTTATCTCATCACGAACATATCGATTATATCTTGCATTTGGACTATAATATATGCCCAATTTACCTCGTAATTGTTTTCGTCGAAGTTGACAATCATCTATTTCATGTTGCCCTTCACATTCATTTGTCCAATAACATGCGTAACGTTGATTAACTGTTGTACCTGCAGTACTAACACTAATACCGCTATCAGAATAACTGCTACTACTTCTTCGAGTATTGCTCGACGCCATTAAGAAAAAAACGCATTTTTCTTCTTTTTATATACCCGTGATGGCCTTGATACTCACTTTTTTTCTATTCTCTCTTTACTATTTTTTTATCAAAACAAAAAGAGGACAAAAAAATTCTTTTTAACAATCTGACTGAAAGAAAAATATGTCTCTTTATTTACTTTTGCTGGTGTCGTGCTTTTCCGTCATAGAAACTCTGTAAACAATACCTTTAAGAAGTATTTGTTTTCGCTTTTCTTTACATGTCTACTCACTTATGCCACATAGATTTGGATTTTTCTCTTTGTTTTCTATCAGATACGTTGGGTTTTTTTCCTTTATTTTTTTAACTATGATCTTTCTGTATGTACCAAATTCAATAGATGTTTCTCAGAGATATGTGATGCAATATTCTATATAACAATTTTGACTTCTACTGCATAAACGAAGAGAACACATTGTAGTTTGATGAAATTTTAAAAAGTTACATCCATTCAAGATATGATTGGCGCAAATAAATAATAATATCAACATGATTTTATTTATTTTTATAAAAAATAATGAACTAATAAGATTAACTTGAAATAGATAAGAACTGTTTCATGTGGTCTTTGTTTGTATGGGAGCATGTGTAGCTCACTTTAAAAATAATAAACATCAAAAATCTCTTCCATCAAGTGAAACATTCAAATATCATCTTCCTAATCATTCACAAAAGATTATTAATGACATACGAAATACATCTAATGTGTATGAAGTTTCATCACCTATCGCTCAAATAGGAAATGAGAATATCTTATGTAATAACCGAAAACGATTACAAACAATGATTCCGACTTCTATGATTGAAAATAAAAAACAAATTAAGTCAAAAGAATTTCACATAAGTAAACGAGTTTTAACTTGGATTAATGAAATCGATGAAGATGATCCATTAACACCGCCAACGTCAATGCTTTCATTAAATACTTTATTAATCCGACAAGATGAACCACCACAACGCAAAACAAATAAACAAGAAATACTCGAACAAAATTTAAATACACATAAATTTGCTAAACTTTTATTTTGAAATGTATTCAAATCTATATTATAATTGTTGAATTAATCTGAATAGATTTTTGATATACTTTGTAATTTGATTATATTGCATTCAACTTATCTAAACCTTGAGACGTTCAAAATTTCAAAGAAATGACGCTCCATAGAGGATAATATTTTTACGAATAAGTCAAAGAATATATATAAAAATAGAGAGATTATATGTCTTTGAATACACATATTATTTAATATCGCATGATTGACTGAACAACACTGAATTTCTTTGAGAATAAGTCACGTTGAAAATTACTATTCTATTTGAGAACATTATCAGGCACATATTAGTGAAACATAAAGTTAGGCAGTCTATATACAGTAATAGTATGTACA